GCTCATATCAATTGGTATCAGAACTGTCGATTCTCGACAATAGCTATACCACAAGAAATCTTGGAGTCAATTTGCAATGAATTACAAGGGATTAAAGCATTCATCTTGAGAATGGTTGAGAGCAACAAACAATTTATGGAAGCTCTAGATCAAAGTGAAGATCAAGAAAGCAGATTTTGAAGATAGAAAGTTTGATTCTCAGTGTACTGATCTCATATTTTAAAGGATGAGTAGTCATTAGAGAAGATGCTCATCTGTATTCTCATCATGTTTTTTTTCTTAGATCAAAATGATGCAATGAAGAATTTTATTGCTGAAGATCTTTGAAGAGATGACAACAATTTCATGTTTATATAGATGGTCCTCTATACATTCATTATTATCATATCCATCCAGGTCAGTTTTGAATAACATTTGTATTTCAACCTTGAGAGCAAGATTGAATTTGAAAGGGTAGGAATGATACATTCAGAATATTTATTTTGTTAGTTATTATCATTTACCTAGCAATTGGGAATATAGTGTTAGTGGGTTTGTTAGCTTACAAGTGAAGTGGTATTTGTGGGTTTCTAGTTAGTTATAATATTCGTTGTATTAAATGAATTAACTTCTTGTTAAGTTTTTGGAGGTCTGGTTCTCCTCAAATTGCACCAATAGGAGGTCTTCCCTCTCAAAGTGCTCCTTTCTTTCATGTTTATTCTAATTTTTATTTTTGTTAACATAAGTGTTCATATGAGGGAGCTGCTAAAATCTGTCAAGAAGAGCGCCACGAGAAATGCCAAGGAGGTTAGAAGACTTGTAATCATTGAAGGCTCAAGGCATGGGGACCGGATGGCTGCATATGCATCTAGACTACACAAACTTAGAAATTGAAAACAACTTATGTTCTCATATTTTGAATCAAGTACATTATGATTAAGCCAACCTCTCGTAAGTAAAACTTAGAAGTAGTTGATTCATCATTAATTTTTTTTTTTTTTAAAAGAACGCCCGGTTGATCCATTATAACATCCCCAAAATTTTAATTTGGTAGATTTCCACAAGTAGGTTAAAGATATTTTGTGAGTTATCTTTTACATGATTTATGTAGAACAAACTTGTGTACAATGTACAACAAACTCAAAAAAAATTTCCTTTTTACTTGATATTTAACAGAAAAAATAAAACTCCCTTAATTGTTAAAACAAGCAAGTTAAAAATGATAGAGGATTAAACAGAAAAAAGCCATCTTGCATTTTTGGTGAGATGAATGTTTAGTTACTGTAATCAAATCTTGCATAATTGACCAACAACTGAAGCATAGAGATTATACCAATAGTTTTGCAAATCAGAAATGCCTCATACACCCACTGGGGGTCAACCCCCAGTGAGGTGGCGCCCTGTGATTGGGCGAAAAAAACAGTTTTTCTTTCTTTTTTTTTTTTATGTTTTCAGCGAATGAGAGCTGGACAGCTCACTGGGGGTCGGACCCCCACTGGGGGTCGGAAGCGCTGTTGTTTGCAAATATAGGTTCTATATGAATTGAAAAACATTAACTGAACAATAGGTTCAAAAAGTTACCTGGCATTAAATTTCTAGGTTTCATGTTTCAACATTGAATTGTAATAAGAAAAAAAGAGAAACAAGTAAGTTTTTTTCTTCTATTTTACACCCCCCCCCCAAAAAAAAAAAATCTTTCTTCTAATGCAATCAAGAATACAAACAATAATCAAAGGGCATAAAATTTCAAAAGGCATATAATTTCACAAACTATGAGTAAGTTTGGAAATAATTAATAAAAAAATTTGATATGATCACCAATTACAAACACTTTTTTTTTTTGAGCTCCGATTAAAAAAACTTTTAGACGAAGGACATATAATCAATAATCATAACCAAATGTCCCAAAACTATTTAAAACCCCCCCAAACAAAAGAAAGTTAAATGGTGAATTGAATCAGTAATGATAGAAAATGTTGGGTCAATCTCACATCGACCAGGGAGGGACTCCCACTTCCATATTATAAGTGCACTGGCCCCCTCCTCCTGTCAATAGGCCTTTTCCCCAAAGAAGGAACAAAATCGCGAGGTTCTGGCCAAGGCGGACACAATATATTGACGAGGAGCGAGAGGACAGGCATCGCAAAATTTGAGCCTAGAATGAGAGCTGTCCGGCAAAGTCTCCCACTGTTGCGGTCTAGTCCACTGGGGGGTTATGTTTGGTCAATCCCACATGGACCAGGGAGGGACTCCCACGTCCACCTTATAAGCGCACTGGCCCCCTTCACCTGTCAACAAGCCTTTAAAATCGCGAGGAAGGGACCAGCTCCCTCAACCCCAAAATGGACAGCATATTGCTCGGCGGCTGAGCCATTCTAGCACTCATCCCAGTAATAGGCCTTTTCCCCTGAGGAGGAACAAAACCGTGAGACTCCGGCCAAAGCGGACAATATATTGACAGACCATGAGGCTCCAGCCAAAGCAGACAATATATTTCGCAACTCATGTCCTCTCGTGCCCCGTCAATATATGTCCTCTCGCACCCTGTTAATATATTGTCCGCTTTGGCCGGAGCCTCACGATCTTGTTCCCCCCTTGGGAGAAAAAGCCTCTATTGACAGGTGAAGGGGGTAGTGCGCTTATAAGGTGGAGGCTCCAGCCAAAGCGGACAATATATTTCGCAACTCATGTCCTCTCGCGCCCCATCAATATATGTCCTCTCGCACCCTGTTAATATATTGTCCGCTTTGGCCGGAGCCTCACGATCTTGTTCCCCCCTTGGGAGAAAAAGCCTCTATTGACAGGTGAAGGGGTAGTGCGCTTATAAGGTGGAGGCTCCAGCCAAAGCGGACAATATATTTCGCAACTCATGTCCTCTCGCGCCCCATCAATATATGTCCTCTCGCGCCCTGTCAATATATTGTCCACTTTGGCTGGAGCCTCACGATTTTGTTTCCCCCTTGGGAGAAAAGGCCTCTATTGACAAATGAAGGGGCAGTGAGCTTATAAGGTGGAAGTGAGAGTCCCTCCCTAGTGGATGTGAGATTGACCCAACAGAAAACAAACCAGAAAAGTGCTTATGAAAACCAACCCATCAATTTGCAAGCACACAAACAATCCTTTTTTATCAAATTTTTCACTTTTCAACTCTGTAACTCTTGGGAGTTTTGAATTTAAATTGAACTAAGAAATTTTAAGTTTGTTTGGGTGTCATATTGTGAATAGAATTACATATTAGCTTCTCATTGTTCCCTATAATTCCATATCTATTTCAGTTGAAAGAACTTAAGCAGAAGCAAAATGGGGTTTCAGGTTTACCTCTATTGAACCCTTTTCTCGAAGCGAAATGGTAAGAGTGTTTCATGCGATACAATACAAACCCTTTTCTTGAAGACGAACAATCTTTAAACAAAAACTTATACTTCAATCAACAAGTGCTAAAAAAAAAAAAAAATCCTTCTCTTAGCTTTCGCAATGGCTGGAAAGGAAAAGAACTTGGGAACTAGACGTAGGTGTGAGTTGGAAAAAAAAAATTACCAAAACACATAGAGGGAGGGCAGCATTTCATTTACATCTCACCACAAACATATTTGTACTTCATGTATTTATAAATTTTTTTTCCCTGCTTGTAGTTCCCTCAGAGAATATCATATTCGACTAACCTGACTTCTTCGGTCCCACCTTCATATCTTCATCCCTCCATGTATAGGCACTAATTCGGTCTCGTGTGGATACTACCAATAGTTTATCTCATTAGTTTTGTAATAAATATAAGGAAAAAAAAATATTTTATAAAATAGATGGTTCGAATTTACAATCATATTTATTGTTTATTTTATAAAACAAAATATAATTTTTTCTTAAATTTATAATTTTTTGATGAAACTATTTTTTGTATAGATGACTTTTATTATGATACTTACGAAATAGACCGTTCGGATTATCAGTGTATGTCTGAATTGGGGCCTAGAAGAAAAGTATGGAGAGGTATGGAGAGACAAAGTATGGTAGGGAGCTTATCTCGACTTCTTCTGCTTTAAACAATTCAACGATAAATTACAAATACGGTAATGAATTTGCTTAAATTATGGATTATCACTGTGATTTTGAAAATTATATTTCGTCCTTTTAAATTTCTAATCGCATAACAAATGACCAATTTTATTGATAAATCATCAAATCAATTAACAATTTTTTAATGATATCAGAAATATATTTCAATAAGCAATTCTGATAATTTGTTGTTGTATAGAAGATTAGTTAGAAATTTCTTTTTTCTATTAATTATGTTACATAAAAAATTCTGAAAATGAGTATTTATAATTTTCAGAATTACATGGACAATCTGTATTTTAAGTAAATTTCAAGAGGTATATGTGTAATTTACCCAATCTATATTTGAAGTAAATCTCAAGAGTGTATGTATAATTTACCTAACAATTCAATAATGTAACTAGATTCTATTTGGCTGAAAAATCAAATTGGATGGTCCAGTCTGGTTTATGATGGACTTATTGAGTCCATATCGATAATTCAAAATCAAACCGTTCACTTTGTTAAACTCTTTGAGAAAATAAAAAAAAATATCAAAATTAAATAAATTGAATATCAAGAAGCACTCCATCGAATCACAATTGTCTAAAAAATAATAAACAAACTTCTTTTAAAGAGTGTTAGTTTAATCCCAAATTCAAAATAGCTGTGTTTTGTGACATCTTTTTAATCCAAACCATCATTAAATATGTAAAACATATATGGGGAAATTACCCCTTAGTTGTACTATAAAAAAATTACTATAAATTCATGAAAAAATTTATAATTTTAATTATTAATGTGTATAAAGTTTACCACTTATCTATTTGTTTATTTATTTTTTTAAAGTGTACACTGCAGTGAAATTTTTCCAACATATATCACAATACAACACAATACGATACAACCCAAGTTGCCACAAACAAAACTCAAGTGATAGCCATACTCACAAAAAGCTTTCAGTAGAGGAAAAATTTTGAGAAAATAAATATTACAAACCCAAAATCATATTAATAATGACCAATAAACAGAGTATGAATAACCGTTTCACCAATACTTTTTATCACAGCATAGAAGTGCCTTGCACAAACACAAGACTTTCTTCAAAATAAAGAGCTTTAAACAATTTCATAAACATCTAAAACATTTATCACTATACAATAAGCCACAGCATGCTTGCTTTTGCAACCCATCCAATGCGAGTGAAATATGGAACAAGAATTCCCTGTTCCATCATACTTAATAAACATCATGTCAACCACAGAACAACCAATGGACATTGCATTTTGTCCGCCTAACCCTTAAAGAAAATTCATCCTTGTCATCAAGAATTGCGTCATATTCGTTGACGGCAGAAACGACTTTGAGATTTGGAGCATGGACATTCAAATATTTAAAGCCAACACAGTAAGAAAGATTTAAAAACACCAGCGATGGGGCATCGAGGTTAACAGTACCAACTTGGTCGGAACCAAATGCTATTTTCTTAAGATAAATGTGCTGGAGATTCCGAAAAACACCAGATGATTGGTTGAAAATACAATTACGGAGCTCCAATCTTGTCAAGTTTAGGCAAGAAGAGAGAAAACCGATCTTGTATGTATCATTTTGGCAATTAATCCACTGTGAGTCCCTCGATACTCTTCCTTGACAGGGAAAAAACCCAGATGTTAATATGCGGGGCCCATTTAAATTGTTTGTCCGGAACGTGGAGAATAACGTTTCCAATGGGACCGTTGTGACGACGGATAGTTTCGTTCACTTTGTCCACCCATGCAGTTAGATCGAGTGCAATCCATCTGCTGCGCTCTTCAAACAAGAACTTATTAAACACAAGTTGTGGACGATCAGACCAAATGCTTGTACTCGACAAGATGTCTGCTCTTGCTGCTTCTACAAAAGGAACACGCTGTAGAATTTCAAGTCTTCCATCTACTGGCAGGGCACTGATCAAATCCATTCTGCACAACACCCCTGTCACTCAGTAATTTCAATTGGAATTAAAATTGAACATGCAGGTAAGGTAGAGAATGGTTGAATGACCGTTTCACCAATACTTTAAATCACAACAATAAAAGCGCTTGTAAAACAAAAGACCCCATCCCAAGTGTTAGTCAACTCTCAATGGACTAAAAAGTTCGTTGAATGATGGAATACCCATCCAATTTAATTAGATGATAACACAAAAATAAGATATGGTCTAAAATGGTGAAAAATGACAAGAAATTGTGAGGGAAAAAAAAAAAAAAAAACCTTCTATTACTTACAAGATTGCCCCTTCAAATACAAAGATTTACAATACCATATTACCAAGACTGCCCCTTCAAATACAAATGAAGGAATTTCACTCATATCTCCTTCATCTTTTCTTTCATCAAATTTAAATTCGATGAAAAGGTACTCCCAAAAAAAGAAAAAAATCATCTTCAATTCTTCAACAATTTTTTCATCTAATTTGATTCCAAATTTGAGTAAAAAATTTGATTTGACATGAACTATTTCAGTTCTTTTAAAAATTACTCTCTTATCCTCAATTTTTTGTTTGATCAAATTTGATGAAAAAACAATCTACTCCAATGATTCATCTTTCTAAATTTTCATCAAACTCAAATTTTAATGAATTCTCAATTTGGTAAAAAGAAATGACTCCCTTGATTTGATGAACATTCGATGATGAAAGGACTGAAGATGATTTTTGACTACTTTTTCATCAAATTTAATGATGAAAGGATTGGAGATGCTGTAAAAAAAAAAAAAATCCTTATGATCTTAAAAGATTATGTGAAATAAAAGGAATTGTACGGAAGTTTAATTCAAAACTTTCAATATATAAAAAGAAAAATGCTCAATAAGCAGCTCATAACTTCGAATACGACCAGTAATTTCTAATTTTACTAGTTAGGAATTCTCACAAGTTTATGCAACCATAATTCAGTAACAGAAAAGGGGATCGATCTAAATCTTAACAGAGATTGAAATCAGATAATAACAGAGCTGAGAGAGAGAGAGAGAGAGAGAGAGAGAGAGAGAGAACCACCATGGTCGAATAACGAGTGTTGGTCGTCGGCAAACCACCGTGGGATATGTTATCAACAAAATCTAGTAATTAAAAAGAAAAATCTGAATAAATTGATAACTTGATTCAAGAAAATGTTTCAGCTTGCTTCAAACCCAAAAAAATGGATCAAATCACAAATGATAAACCCAAAATAATGAAGAAAAAAAAAGAAACTCATTTACAAATCATAAACCACGGAAAAACAATGGAAATTTTGGGGTAAAGAAACTCACAGATCAAAATCCATTCCCAAATACAAAAGCAATTCCAAATAAATTGATAGCTTGCTTAACAAAAAAAAAATACCAATGCAGCAGATGCTCAGCTGAATCTGAAGATCGAAAATTTGAAGATGAAGCGTCCAACCGACGCCGTAATTGAGAGAGAGAGAACTTCTCTTCTTGCCTCTCTGTTACTGCTGCTGCTGCTTCCACAAAAGTGACGAGCTAGGGCAACAACATGGGTAAAATAGTAAATTGCTTCCCAATACCAACAGACTAATTTTCTAATAGCAGGGCCAGGGGCCAGTTTGTTTGCTGCCATGGCAGTCCGGAGCGGACTAACAATGATGAACAGTAACCATATGTCTTATTTGTTTTGTTTACGGTGTTTCAGATTGTTAGTTAGTCGAAGGCCTTGGGCGAAGAAGTAATATTATTAGAAAATAGTCTTGTCAGCTTAGGGCTTAGGTGATATTGTTTGGGTGGGTGAGACACACTGCGGATTTTATTTTGATAATTTGAATCATTTATTTTATTAAATATTTTATATATTTTATTCATATAAAAATTAAAGTGATGTCACCATTGACCACCACCAGAAGAACAAGCTGGCAAATTCAAAATAAAGGTCAATTATATACAGGAATGGTCACTTCCTTATTTATTTATTTATTTTTTTTATCCATATTGATAATATGAACAGTTTATCTCGTAGTAAAAATTATTTATATAAAACATTAATTTCAACACATATTGGTAAGTAAATAAACAAATCACATTATGTTTTATAGAACAGATGATTATAGTTGTCGTCTATTTAAAAAATAAGATTAATTTATGGCCTAAGCCAGTGACATTTGATGAAAATTAATTTTTTTTTGTAAATTTAATCTTTGTTGTTGATTGAAATAGTTCATGTCAAATCAAATTTTTTACTCAAATTTGGAATCAAATTAGATGAAAAAATTGTTGAAGAATTGAAGATGATTTTTTTCTTTTTTTGGGAGTACCTTTTCATCGAATTTAAATTTGATGAAAGAAAAGATGAAGGAGATATGAGTGAAATTCCTTCATTTGTATTTGAAGGGGCAGTCTTGGTAATATGGTATTGTAAATCTTTGTATTTGAAGGGGCAATCTTGTAAGTAATAGAAGGTTTTTTTTCCTCACAATTTCGGAAATTCTATTTCCACACATCAAGTTTTCTTACTCCACACACTTAATGAATTTTTTCAGAATTACAATTTTATCCTTTAACAAAATTATCATCTCACCTACCACTATCTCACACACATATCTCACAATTTCTCCATACACATCTCACCCACCACCGTCTCACCGTACCAGTCCTCTGTAACTTTTTCCTTTTTTCGAATCTGTTTCCCTTTTTTCTTCATTACTCTCCAACTACTTTTGATCATGCTTCAAGCAAATTTCTGGAATTTAACAACTCTTCAAACCCCAAAAATTCAATTTAAAAAAAAACAATTAAATCTGAAAATCATCCATTGATAAACAATAGATAGCTCTCTGTGGAAGATAAATACAAACCCTCTGGGCAAAGAAGCAGAGAAACAGGGGTTATGGTAAAGAAAATCAAAATTTACAATGCATATTGAGCGATTAATGAAAGACCCACTTGAGAAAAAAACTTTGGAATGAACAAAAACCAGAGAGTTGACCATTTTAGACCATATCTTATTTTTGTGTTATCATCTAATTAAATTGGATGGGTATTCCATCATTCAACGAACTTTTTAGTCCATTGAGAGTTGACTAACACTTGGGATGGGGTCTTTTGTTTTACAGGTGCTTTTATTGCTGTGATTTAAAGTATTGGTGAAACAGTCATTCAGCCATTCTCTACCTTACCTGCACGTTCTCGTTCAATTTTAATTCCAATTGAAATTACTGAGTGACAGGGGTGTTGTGCAGAATGGATTTGATCAGTGCCCTGCCAGTAGATGGAAGACTTGAAATTCTACAGCGTGTTCCTTTTGAAGAAGCAGCAAGAGCAGACATCTTGTCGAGTACAAGCATTTGGTCTGATCGTCCACAACTTGTGTTTAATAAGTTCTTGTTTGAAGAGCGCAGCAGATGGATTGCACTCGATCTAACTGCATGGGTGGACAGAGTGAACGAAACTATCCGTCGTCACAACGGTCCCATTGGAAACGTTATTCTCCACGTTCCGGACAAACAATTTAAATGGGCTCCACATATTAACATCTGGGTGTTTTCCCTGTCAAGGAAGAGCATCGAGGGACTCACTGTGGATAATTGCCAAAATGATACATACAAGATCGGTTTTCTCTCTTCTTGCCTAAACTTGACAAGATTGGAGCTCCGTAATTGTATTTTCAACCAATCATCTGGTGTTTTTCGGAATCTCCAGCACATTTATCTTAAGAAAATAGCATTTGGTTCCGACCAAGTTGGTACTGTTAACCTCGATGCCCCATTGCTGGTGTCTTTAAATCTTTCTTACTGTGTTGGCTTTAAATATTTGAATGTCCATGCTCCAAATCTCAAAGTCGTTTCTGCCGTCAATGAATATGACGCAATTCTTGATGACAAGGATGAATTTTCTTTAAGGGTTAGGCGGACAAAATGCGATGTCCATTGGTTGTTCTGTGGTTGACATGACGTTTATTAAGTATGATGGAACAGGGAATTCTTGTTCCATATTTCACTCGCATTGGATGGGATGCAAAAGCAAGCATGCTGTGGCTTATTGTATAGTGATAAATGTTTTAGATGTTTATCAAATTGATTAAAGCTCTTTTATTTTGAAGAAAGTCTTGTGTTTGTGTAATTTTTCTTTTGAACTAAAGCTTTTTTGTAATATTTCTCCCGTCATCATTAATGCATTTCTGTAAACTTCTAGCAAGAGATATTAGTCAACAAGATAGATCACTTAGCATTGTTTCCATTCCCACATCAGCTAGGTAGAATTTAAAACTAACAGAAAGTCTATGCACTCACCAAAATATATAATTTATAGTGTATATATAGGCTGTGTGTATGATTTGGAAAAAGAAATAGAAAAGGTGAGTAAAATGTGAATGAAATATAGTTTTATTTTTTCTTTACTTTTTCAAATTCTTAGAGCATCTCCAGCAGCTTGGCTATTCTTTCCTTTTAGCCATAGAAGCGAGTTTGGAAGGGTAAAAGATTGCTCCAGCAGACTCGCTCAAGCATTGCTAGAATGGTGGTGAGCTACAGTACCTCGCCAGGACAAGCGAGGTACTGTTCATGGGCTTTTCAATTTTTTATTTGTTTTTGCCTCTTGAATTTTGTTTTTGGCGGTAAAATTTTTCCCACATTTTGGCGCTAAAATTCTTTCAGTACCTCCCCAAACAAATCTATAGAGAAGGCATTCCAAAACTCAAACTCTCTCATCCTCCCTATCTATTTCTCAACCTTTCTGCTCAAGGGAGGTAAAGTTTTGTCATTTACATTTGTTTATGTCATGAATAGTGGATAAGAAATTGGAGAATATGAAAGCAAATGTTCAGATTATTGCATTCTTATTTCATTATTTGTTGATTTTGGCAAAAATATTACACATTGCTTTGTCAGTTGTTCAGATTATGTGAATATATATTTTCTCCTTTGCTTTGTGGCTTCCATGGTTTTTAATCTCATCTCACAAATTGTTGTAGCAAGTTATGGCTCCATGTTCTTAATCAAAGGTCATTATTTTACTACTTGTAAAAGAGAAACTACTATGTATTTATATTGCACACCATATGTTTGTTGTAATTTCTGTTAGAACAAAGATTATAAATTGTATCCAATTATTTCTTCTATTAGTTCTTCTATCATATTTGACAAGAATATTCATTAATATCCAATTTTGATTGATTGTTTCATGAAAACAAGGCCTAGGATATTTCAATATAACAACACTCAACACTCCCTATCCTCCAAAGCCTTCAAATGTACTGGATCTCCCTATCCTCCAAAGCTGTCTAAAACAGAGGATTCCACACCACTATTAAATCATTTGAATTGTGCTGTTCAACCACCGGCAAACTAATGCTTGTGTGATATGATCTTTTGTTGTGAGACTTCGACATATTATCTTAATGCGATGAAGTCTCCTCAAGGACATCATCTTGACACATGCTGTTCAATAATGTGCACTCTTGACATATCCCTTCACACCACACAAAGAAAACAGACACAAATAAATTTCCATATGGGGTGGGTTTTGTGGGATTGGTAAAATCAATTTTCTTTCCATGTGATTGTTTAATCACAGAATTCCCATTGGTTTTAGGTTCATGAATTACATTTTTCTTTTCTTCCACATCTATTTCAGTTTTGTCCCCAATATCTTCTCAACGCTTATTGCATGTTCAAGTTTGTTAGTGCTTTCTTTCATCTTTTTCTCTTTCTTAGCATTCTCAGTTTTATTTTTCAATTCAAGTTCTATGTGAGTAATCTTGGTTTTGAAAACATTATTGTGCCAAAGAACCTTATCATCTTCTACCTCAAGAAACTTAACCATTTCAATTAGAGAGGAATTTTTATTTGAAGTAATCAAATCTAAAATTTATTAATTTTTCACTTATTTTTTTCAGATTCAATCTCATTCACTCTCCTTAAGTTTTAGTTTCTTGTTTAGGTTTTTGGTCACAACAACACACTTTTGAAGAAGTTTTATCATACATGTCAGCCATATCCTTATCTTCGACAGTTATGTGTTAACAGTTAACACCAATATCTAGTCTCATTTTAAGACATAACTACCACTCTTTTGAGGCACACACTTTGAGATATAACCAAAAATACTACTTTAATGCATAATCAACATACTTTGAGACTATAAAAAAGCACCTTATTGAATTATAACCAAACATTACTTTAAATTGTTATCAAAACTAACCTAATTTGATTTGACATAAATAACTCTATCTTATCTCAAATCATAACCAGCATCATTTTTTTTTTCAATAGGCATAGCCAATATCACTTTATGGCATAATCAACCCAATATTGAGGCAAGTTACATACCCAAGGACCTTGAATTTTGTTAGCTTCCATAATGAGGTAAGGAACACTGAAATATATGTTTGTATTGAAATGATAAGAGTTTTGAATTCTTACTCTTAATTTAATACAAAGCAAACTACATTTACTGAAGTCACATTGTTATTCTTACAAGTGATTTAAATTCCTTCAATTGAGTTGTTGTTTCATGTTATAATTCTTCATAAGAACTCTGAGCATGTTTTGTGATAATTCACCAGTTAGAAATGCTTATGTCCATTTTGTACTGGCTTTGGGTAATGCTTGAAATCATGCTTATGTATTTTTTATACCTCTTCATTTCTAAATACCTCTTCATTTTGATTTTTTTTTTTTATGTGTTTGAAATTAGATTTTTCTACTGTAATTTTATTGTACAGTAGCTTGGATATTAAATTTTAATTCTTATATATTATTCAATCATAGGTATGGATTCACAACAAGATGGTTACTTTATCAATCTTTTACAAGAAAGGCCTAACATTGATGAACATTATCTAATGGAATCTCAATATTTGAATCAAAGCACTCAAGTCTTCACCCAAGAGTCTCAATTTACTATTGAAATTGAATCTTTGTCGAAGAAACCTCAACGTGGAGGAAACTTCACAATTGAAGAAGACAAACTCCTTGTATCGGCTTGGCTTAATATTAGTTTAGATGCGGTACATGGGAATGAGCAAAAACGCTCTACCTATTGGAAAAGAGTGAGATTTTTTCCATGAGCACAAGAAATTTGAGTCTAATTGAAATGAAAATTCTCTTATGAATCGATGGTCAACCATTTAGCTTGCCATGAATAAGTTTTGTGGGTGCTACACCCAAATTGAATCATTGCATCAAAGTGGCATAAATGAGGATGACAAGGTATTGAATATTGTACATTTACAATTATTATTATTTGTGAAGTTGCTAAATATTATTTATTTATTTGACTTTCAGATTTGCAAGGCAAAAATTATGTGCAAGGAACTCAAGAAATCTACATTCCAATTCGAACACTATTGGATTATGTTAAGGGATCAACCAAAATGGGTGATAGAGTTTGAGAAGAAAAAACAACCAAAAAGACCAAGAACAGGGACAACCTCTTCTCCTTGTACTCTGGATTCGATAAATCTAGGGGAAGACAATGTCTCACCTAATGATTTTGTAGACTTGGAGAGACCAACCGGTAGGAAGGCTGAAACTGAGTGATTGAATAAACGAAAGAACAAAGAAAGTGTACATTCGAGTATTACAAAAACTTTGGAGGACATCAAGCAAGACAAAAAGAAAATGATTGACAAGAAAATTGAAAAGATTGACAAAGTGTACGTTCAAAAAGAAGTGGAACTTCGTATCATGCAAGAAAAGCATGAGGTGGAACTTCAAAAGCATGAAATGGAACTTTTCAAAGAGGACGAAAGAGTTATTTTAATGGATCTTAGTGGCTTGCCGGAAATCCAACAAGAATTTAATCGTGCTTGGCAGATGGAAATCATTAAGAAAAGAAGAACGAATTAGTATTCATTCTGTCTTTGCTCTTTATGATATTTTGGTTTTTGTCTATGTTAATGTACACTAAACCTAACCCACTAACCTAACCCACTACATCCACCCCACTAAACCTAACACACTTACCATCTCCACTACCACCCACCACCTCCACTACCATCCACTACCACCACTCACTTACCTCACACCTCTCCTATATAATAGCTTGTAACATACAAATCAATATACAACAATCTTGTAATCAAAATATCAATCAATAATATACATCAATTTATTTTAACAGTCTAGTACGCTAGAAACTTGGTATATGATATTTTGGCTTTTGCTTTTGGTACACAACGTTAGTAGTCTAATCTGATGCTTTTTGTGTTGTGTTGTTCTATTGCTCTTTGTGCTGTGTTGCTGCCATTTTTGGTCTGTTTTCTAAGCTGTTTTTGTTGCTATTTTGCTGGTGTTTTTGGGCTGTTTTGATGGCATTTTTGGGCTATTTTGCTGCTGTTTAATGTAAGTACTAATATTTACTTGTTCTTAGATTTTGAATCCAAAAATAGGTTGTGGTTGAGACGGGGCAACAGCTAGTACTAATTGATTAATTGTGGTTGAGACGGGGCAACAGCTGCTTGGATCTCCAAACCATTACATATGTTCTTGAGAAAGTTTCAAAGGAACTTATCAAATGAGTGGGATTTCTAATGCTACATTTTCAAATGAGTTTTATTTATATAAATCTTCTCTTTTCAAATGAGTTTTATTTATATAAAGCTCAGTGGTAGCTAAAGCATGGGTTTTATTGTTCATAATTTTACAAGGGCTGTAGATTTGCACGAATTCTAGATGATTGATCCCAGTTTAGTAATAATTTGATTCAGAGAACAAAGTGGAAAAGAAAAAGTTACTACTTGTTTCTTCATCTTTTGTAGAGACTTTTGTCTGGAAATGTGCTGCAACATTAGGCTGTCCACCAGCAAAGCGTGATAGCCATACTTGCTCATCTTGAAAGAACAAAATCATTATAGTTGGTGGTGAAGACTCATATGATTATTATCTCTCTGATGTTCATATCCTTGATGCTGGTATCAATTCTTCTTGAAATTTCCTATATTGATC